CATCCTTCCTCTCGCCTCTGTCGTGCTTTAACTTTTACCCCTCCTGCGGTTCCTGTTCCTCTTCACCACCACCCCTGTTTCTGTCAAGTTATCTCGCTTACAGGATTCTCTTTTAGATCGTATTTCTAATATTTCTACTCATGATGTTCCTTCTTTGCCCCCGTGGAGAGTCCCCCTTCTGCAGTTTTGTACATCCTTAACCGGCATCACTATATCTTTTACCCCTCCTACGGTTCTTAAACGACTTTTCCTTGAGCACTTTTCTTCTCGCTCCCGCTCCGTTTCTGTCTTCACCGATGGGTCTAAGTCTGCAGATGGTGTTTGCTACTCTGTTGTTTTTCCTGATCGCACTTGTGTCGCTTACCTCCGGAGTCTAGCATCTTTACAGCAGAACTTTATGCTATTCTCTCTGCTCTTCGTCTCCTGCTTTCTCATTGTCAGTCTTCCTTTGTAGTTGTTGTTGACTCTCGTAGTGCCCTCATGGCTCTCGGGTCCTTTAATCCGGTTCATCCAGTAGTTGTCGAGATCCAGCATTGGCTGTTTCTTGTTCACAGTAAATTTAAGTCGGTTGAGTTTTGTTGGGTTCCCAGCCATATTGGTGTGTCTTTAAATGAGCGTGCGGATGCTGCCGCCAAGGAAGCCGTCCGCTCTTGTCCCATCTCTCGGAAAGGCATTCCGTATTCCGACTTTTACCCGGTTATCCATTCCTCAGTCCTTACCCGTTGGCAGGCTTCTTGGTTATATGTTACTGGTAACAAGCTACGTACTCTTAAATGTTGTTTTTCCTCGTGGCCGTCCTCCTTCCACTGTAACCGGCGGTGGGAAACGGCTCTGGCGAGGTTGCGTATTGGCCATACTCGCTTAACCCATGGTCACTTGATGGAGCGCCGCCCTGCTCCTTATTGTCCTAGTTGTATTGTCCCTCTTACGGTCGTGCATGTCCTTCTTGAATGTCCTGACTTCCAGGACGAGCGTGTGTCTTGCTTTCCGACCGCCCCTCGCGGTCACCTGTCCCTCAATAGAATTCTTGGTGACTCGGATACTTTTGATATCGTTCGCCTTATGCGTTTTTGTTCTCGTATTGGCATCCTTGGTGATATTTAGCGCCCTCTGATTATTTTGCGTATTTGATGGTGCTACATAGCCTTCCCGGTTTGGTGCCTTCTTTTGATAATTAATTACTTGGTGACTCGGATACTTTTGATATCATTCTCTTTATGCGTTTCTGTTCTTATAATGGCATCATTGGTGATATTTAGCGCCCTCTGATTATCCCGCACATTTGATGGTGCTACATATCCTTCCTGGTTTGGTGCCTTCTTTTGATAATTACTTACTTTTCTCTTAAACTGGTTGAGAGGTACAGCCTTTGACATGATTGGGAAGGTCATCTCACATTCTGGGTCCCTTGATTTGTAGAGATCTTCTAGTTTGGTTAATGTGCTCCCTTGGAATAGCAAATAGATATTTGTTTCTGGTGTGGTGCCATGGATTCCGTTACAATCTTCTAGGAAGCGTTTAAAGTCGGGATTGGCATTACAGTTCAGAGTTCTAAAAATATAGAGTACACATGAGAGGATGTGTAGTGACTTAATATCTAACATATTCAACGATTTAAGGGTACCGAGTGCTGTCTGGGGCCAGAGTTTGATAGTGTTCTAGTAGCAGCTTTGTGTTAATTAGAGGACGTAGATGATTTTGGGTAGTAGAACCCCAAGCACAAATACCATAATTGAGATAAGGATTGATGAGAGTAATAGTGTCACCAGGGCAGGGCGAGGTACATAATATATGATCTTGGAAAGAATGCCAACAGTTTTAGAAACTCTTTTTGCAATATATAGAATATGTCCCTGGAAATTCAGCTTATCGATGAGGACACCAGTTTATTTACCATCTACTTTGTTACTAATTTGAATATTGTTTATTCTTAGATTAATTTGATCTGAGGATTTATCAAACAAAATATAGGTTTGTCAATGTTAATGGTGAGTTTGTTAGCAGTTAGCCAAAGATGGACTTTATTTAGTTCAGTATTTACTGTAACATTCAGTCGCACCAACACCCCTGAACACTTGTATACAGAACAGCCTCATCTCCAGGCATACCCTTACGCAGATCTAGCACAAGACGGAGCAGTGGTGTGGGTGCCCGTGCTGGTGGTGCTCATGCTGGTGTTGGCGCCAAAACCAAAAACACAGGTGTACTTGTGGGGGAGGATTGTGACAATTTTGTCCCACAAATTCCAGCATTTGATTTCAATGTTGGTGTGACACCCTTATTTCCCTATACTGGTGATAATATGGCTGAAATTTTTTATGGCATCTTTTGATCAGAAGTTCATTGACCATTTCGTTGAAGAGACGAACCGATACGCTCTGGAACTCATTGACTCTGGAATTTTACCTGCCTCTCGATTGACACGTTGGAAAGACACGACTATTGAGGAAATGTGTGTGATTTTAGCATTGTGTATGATGCTGAGGCATGCAGATAAACACGGGATCCAGGACGTGTTTATCCTGCTGCTTCTCAGGTGCCTGCACTTTGAGAACAATGATAATGAAGGCAGATACGACAGATAGTGGAGAAAGCGGAAGATATTTAGTGAATTAAGAAGAAAATTCCATAACTATTTTGTACCAGCACAGTGTGTCGTGATAGAAGAATCGTAAGTTCTCTTCAAGGGACGACTGGCGTTTAAGCAGTATATACCATCAAAGTGGCACAGGTTTGTGCCGCTTTGGTTTGGACTAAAAGTTTGGACTTTTAGTTCTTTTTGGTTTGGACTAAGGTTCTTCAAGTTGTGTGACTGCGAAACCGGTATTGTCATGGACATATTGTATTCAGGTACGGACGTTGACATACGAGGTCAAGATCCACATGGGTTCTCGGGCAGTCTCGTGAAAACACTCGTGGAACCACAGCTGAACAAGAGGCATATCCTGTACACCGACGAACTACTATTCCAGCCCCATGCTGACCAGATTCCTCCTTGACCACAACACTGGTGTATGTGACACTGTCAAGACCTATAGGAGGGAAATGCCAGTGTTTGGCATTGGTATTGCAGTGGGTGAATGCCAGCTGATAGTGTGATAAAATGTTATCCGTGCACTAGAGGGACAGACGCGAGGTAAATATGTTAACTATTCACACGGGTGCCATGTCGGACAGTGGTGAAGTGAACTTTGCAACAAGGTTGACAATGTATAAACCTGATTGTGTCATTGACTACAATGTAAATATGCATTTAGTAGATAAGTGACAATTGTTAGTGTCGTTGAGTTCATGCGAAAATCCATGAAGTAGACCAAGAAATTGTTTTCCACCTCGATGACGTTACAGTGCTGAACTGTTTTAACACGTATATCGTGAAATCTGGCAAAGGACCATCAATCCGTACATTGTGTTGCTCTAATGTCACAACTACTGGTGAAATATGGAGTGGAGGTCAGTGTTGACATGTGGGGTGCCAGGAACAGTCTCGCACAGTTCCTGATACTCAGGTGTAAAGAATACTTGGCTGTACACAAGCTTGGTTATATGCCAAGCAAAGGCACACGTGAAAAGGGCAAAGGTTTTTGCGTGGTTTGCAAGAACACTCAATGTAGTGAAAGGAAGCGAAGATCCATCTGCTCTGTGCGTTGACTGCAAAATTCCTTTGTGCCCCGTTCACTGTGTGACGTGTTGGAGATAGCGCAGCTACTATCCGGCAGGTGTTGTGTGCCTAACGCTCATTAGAGAAAAAAAATAAAACTAATTTAAATAAAACTACTTACGCCCTTTGCGGTGTGAATAGTTGCAGGAATAAAAACCAGAGACATTAACAATTAACAAATTTACTTATAATAATGGAAACACAAATGATAACAATACTTGGCTTAACACAAGCACAGTAATGGCAATATGAATATAAAATTTAAGTTACTTTATGAATAGGGGTGACTATACAATATTTACACTGTGCTATACTTCATCACACGTCATAGACGAGACCACACCGAGTGAGGTAAGACGTATGAACCAAGAGAGCACAAGTCGTCTGAGTGTTGGGTCGCCAGCCGCTACTTATATACACTGGCAGGTGACGCCATGCTGGTGGGTAGCAGGGTTGAAACAGCCGGTTGGTCAACCGGCAGAATAAGGGTTGTTAACCAGGCTGAACGAGTGACCGGTGGAGACCTGGCGTGTAGAGCTCTTGAATAGCAGGGCAGGGGGGGGGGGGAGTCCATGGTGGTACAGTTCAGTAACAGGAATAATGTAACTGCTTCGGTGATTATCACATACTCCCACAGTTCTAAGTTTGTTGATAGTGTTGTATATAGGCTGTGATAGTGTACGGTGTGTAAATAAGTTTTAATGTAAATAATTGAACATTTAATATATAAAATATGAACAATGTTTGTACACACATTTGCGATAGATGTAACACAGGTTCTTTAAACAGTTCGGATGTTCTATTGCCTGAATATTGTAAACCTGTTCAATATACTTAGGATGATCCAGAAAAAACAAAAGAAATGTGTTTGTAATTGTGCGGAAAAAATGAACATAAAAATATATTGGCAACTCACGCTTGTTGAATCTGGCACGCGACCGCCTCCGGGAGTCTACGGCACGGGCGACCACCGAGTCGTGATATCACACCCCATTTTCTGGACACCACTGCGGCCAAAGTACATTTTGCCAATATTTTTAACATATGTGATCAGGAGAGGGTATTTGACACTTTTGGGAGGAAAATAAGTTTTTGGAAAAAAATTATTTTCAGCACACCACGGGTTTGGCAGCTCAGCACGGTGATTAAAGGTGGTGGGCGCATTAGGCAAACTAGAGACTCGAGAGTGGCCAGTTTCTTGTTCCAGCTCCTCAGTGTCGCAATCCAGAGAGGAAATGCTTGTAGTATCTTAGGTATGCACCCCCACTCCGAAGAGCTGGATGAGGTCTTCGAACAGTGATTGCTAAATGTGATAGTAATATATTTTTTGTCCATACAGAGTTTCATCCTACCACCAAATGATGAATGCCAACGTGACTCAGGGTTTCCTATTGACGGCATCATTGAAGGACCAATTTTTATTGAAGAAGATGAGGAAGTAGATGAAGCAAATGTGTTACCAACAGTAAACCCAGAAGACATTGCTGATTTAGTTGCAGAACTAGATGAAATAATTTAAGTTTCGAATTTATTGTATAGAAGGTCTTGAAAAACAATGTTGCAATATGTTTATCTGTAAATTAAGTAAATGACATCAAAATAAAGTTTAGTCATTAGAGATGTGCGATATTTGTCAAGATATGTAGTCACAGTACATTATAGTCTTAAGTACTCTCATTTACTGTTAACTGCATTTTTATATTACCTCAGCTTTAAAAACAAACAATTTTTGCTGCTCTAAAAGGGAATTCTACTATTGAATGATTAAGTCATATATGGAATGCTTACATTTATCTATTGAATATTTGAATTGGTTGAAACAATGGAAAAAATCATCCTTTACTACTTATCATTGAGGTAAGGATCTATTGAATTGCTTTATTTGCAATCTCGTGACCTCTAGCCTTTAAATTTGCCCATTGAAATATTGAAGAGTTCATCTTTCAATAAAAATATACTTTTACATAAGTTCATTACATTGGTATCTGTAAAAGTTGAATATAAACTGGTATATACTAAAATATTGTTTTCATAAATGTTTCATTTTATTTTTTTCTGTAAGGTTTCCTTCAGTAGCCTTCTTTGTAAATAATATGCCTAAGTATCCACTGAGGAGGAATACAATAAAAATAAAAAAATTCAAGCAGTATATTAGATTATATGGTCCTTGTACATGAGCCAGATTAGGAAACATAAACATGACATCGAATTATGGAAGTGACATGATGGGAATAGTCCATTTGCAGTTTCAGCTATACTTCTGGGAATTAGCCATCTGCAGCTGTATCCATCCTTTACATAATTTTATCTTTCACAAATCTTACCGATTGCATCTTAATTTATAGTCTTGGCCCCCTCCCCGCTCAGCTCGTTGTCGCCGTGTGGGGGCTTCGTGGGCGGCTGCCGGAGTGTGATGCTCCTTGGGACAGTCCTTTGTCCTTTTCTAGCCTTGTGCTCCTGCTGCCGTCCTCTCCAATTCTGCTGGGCATCTTTTCCTTTTCCTTCTGTTTCGTTTTTCTCTCCCCTCTTCTATCTGCTAGCCGTTTCCTGCCGACCTTTTGCTCGTTCTGGTTCTTCCCTTGGACTTCCTCTATTTTGACGCCCGGGTGCTTGAAGAGGCATACTCTTGCACCCGTAGAACTGTTGGACCCGACGTCGAGAGCGAGGGGAACCTTTTATTGTCAATCCCCCCCTTTCGTCACTGAACCAGATCTCGACGGACTGTCGGTTTCTTAAGGTGGCGTTTGTGGGGTGTATACTCACGACGCACCCCTTGGAGGCCCCGACAAGATCGGCGATAGCTTCTTGTTGGGTGTCCTGCCTCTAATTGTGGCTCCATGGTGGGTGTGGGGGCACATTCGTGGATGATTTCTTCTTTTCGTCAAGATGATAACCCGTTTCGGCTGCTTCTGGCTTACCTTCTCAGGCTCGTGGGGTGGGCGACCAAGCCCCCGAGTCGGTCCGTATTGGAAGACCGGGCTCTGTAGCCTCCGCTGCATTGGGCCCCGACCTTGTTCCTCCTTTGGCCTCTCTGACTCCTTCCCCTGGCTCCCCTCCCTCCTCTGTGGTTGGGTCGAGCCCCAAGCCCCCAGTGGTGACTACCTCGTCCCCTGGCGCGGCTCCTTCTCTAGTTGACTACTGCGCCTTTTAACCCCTCTCTCTCTGGGGGTTCTCACCGCCGTCCTCGTCACGGCCGCCCTCGCTCGATTCCTTCCAGTTCTGCTACCTATCAAGCCTTGTTTGGTCCCGCTTCGTGGGCCAAATATTTTGATCTCCTCCCTCTTGATTCTGCGCCTCCTGACAATTTCTCCCTCCATCGACATCTCATTGATTCCGTGGATGCCTCCATTACTTTCAACCCCACTCGTCTCGGTACACGTGTCGTTGCTGCTCCTTCTCAGGATGCTGCTTCCCGCTTGGCTGCCCTATCCTGCCTTGGCGAGACCCCCATTCGGGTCTCGAAGAACGCTCAGTTGAATGCCAGTGTTGGCACTATTTTGCTCCCGCCCCATGTTGCGACCGGTGTTCGGGACCTGCGCGACTGCCACGACGATATTCGACATATCCTCGCTGCCCAGGGCCATTCTATTCTCCAGGTGGACACGTTTACTCGTCCCCCTCATGGTAGTCGCCGTCAACCCCTCCGGGTTGTGAAGATTACCTTTGATGGTAGGACCCTTCCACCCTCTGTCATTCTTGCTGGTGCCAGGTGCTCTGTCCAGGAGTACATTCCTTCTCCTCGGCTCTGCAACAAGTGCTGGAGATTTGGGCATGGTGCCCTCCGCTGCTCCGGGACTGTCTCTCTGTCCTTTGTGTGGTGGCGAAGGTCACTCTAAGTCGGAGTGCACTTCTCCCCAGGCCCGTTGCCTCAACTGCGGTGAGGCCCATCCTACCTTCTCCCGTGCGTGTGTCCATTACAAGCTTGAGGCAGCCGTCCTCAACCTGAAGCACCGGGAGCGTTTATCCTTTCTTGAGGCGAGGCGCCAGGTTCGCCGGCTCCCGCCTTATGCTAATATCTCTTATGCTCGCGTGTTGCGCTCTTCCTCTCCTCGTCCTTCCCGCCTTCCTCAGACTCACAACCGTTTCCGGGCCTTGGACCCTGATGCGCCCACTGCCCCCTCCTCTGTTCCTTTGGGTTCTCTCCCGAAGGATCCTCCTCCTGGTCCTCTGTCTGGGGTTCCCCTTCCTTCTACCCGGTCTGTCGTGTCTTCTGTGTCTTCTTCCTCGTCCCCCTCCGATCCTCCTTCCCATCCTCTTCCTCCATCTATCGGCTCTCCCCACCGCCTGTCGGTGCGGGCGGATGTCCATCGCTCTCCTAACGGCCGTCGTGTGTGCTCTCGTTCGGCTTCTCCTGTTGAGACACTGGAATCCGTTGCCCGGTACGTAGTTGCTGGGACACCGGTCTCTTTAAGTCAGAAGCGTAAGCCTGGCTCCTCTCCTTCCTCTTCCCCGGCGGGTAAGAAGGCTTCGCTTTCTTCCTCGGCTCCTCCTCCTGGCTCTGTTGCTCCTTCCCCTCCCGTTTCAGTGCTTGCGCCCCCTGTTCCTGCTATGGAGGTTTCTTTGGCCCCTGCTTCCCTTTCGGTTGCTGCTCTTGCTGGGGTGCGCTCCCCTCTTTCTACTCCCCTCTCTTCCTGCTGCTGTCCTTGACTGCTCCTCTCCGTTGTCTCCTCCTCTTCCTCCTCCTCCTCCTCCTCCTCCTCCTCCGGACCCTGCCCGCCCACCTCTGATCTGTTCTCCCGTTTCCTTCCCTCCGTCTTTGCTCAGTTTACCCATGCCCCCTAACCCTGACTTTGCTGACCCTGATCCTGACCCTGATATTCTTTAACGTGCTCTGTTGCTCTTTCGCCTTTGTTTCTTCCTTGTTCTCTGTTTTTGTCCTTTCTCTTCTCGTCGTTGTCCATTCTTCAATGGAACGTTCGAGGTTATTACGCCAATTTCCTCGAACTCCAACTTCTGATTTCGCGGTTTTCGCCCCTTTGTGTCTGTCTCCAGGAGCCAATGCTTGGTGCTCGTCCTGGTCGTTTTCGTGGCTCTTCCTTTCTCTCCCCCCCCCCAGCCATTGCTGGGGCTTCTAATTCTTCTGCTCTCTTGATTCGGGCTGATGTTCCCTTTGTTCCTTTACTTTTTCCTTCGCCTCTCCATTGTTCTGCTGCTCGTATCTTTGTGGGGAAATGGTACACAGTTTGTTCCATTTATCTCCCCCCGAGTGTCCCGCTCTCTCTTCCTGATTTGAAACACCTCCTAGACTCCTTGCCGGAGCCTGTGCTCCTGCTGGGTGACTTCAATTGTCGTCATTCTCTTTGGGGTGACGTTCTGACGAATACCCGGGGTCGCCTCCTTGAGCCGTTTCTCCTCTCTTCTTCCCCGTCTCTTCTGAATTCTGGTGAGCCCACTCATTTGGACTCTCGGACTCGCACCCTTTCTTGTCTTGATCTTTCTCTCTGCTCTTCTTCTCTTTACTTAGATTTCACGTGGCAGGTTCTTGATGACCTCCATGGAAGTGATCACTTCCCCATCCTTGTTTCCTTTTTCTCTTTTCGCCCTTCCCTCTCTTTCCCTAGGTGGCAGTTTGCTAAGGCAGACTGGACCCTATTTACCCTCAGTGCTGCTCTCTCTGACCTCTCCCTTCTGCCTCTCTCTCGCGCTCTCCTCCTTTTTCATGACACTGTCTTCAACGCTTCCCTCCGCTCTACTCCTCGCTCTTCCTCTCGGGGTCCACGGAAGTGCGTTCCCTGGTGGAATGCGGCCTGTGCTCGGGCTGTCCACTGTAAGCGTGCAGCCTGGAAGAGGCACCGCCGTAGGCAGACGACCGATTCTTTTCTTTTCTTTCGGAAAGCGAGTGCGGTGGCCCGTAGGGCCATCCGTACGGCTAAACGTGAATGTTGGGCATCTTATGTCTCAACAATTACGTCCAAATTCCCTCTGGCCCAGATCTGGAAGCGTATCCGCAAGATAGCGGGTAAGTTCGTTCCCGATGTTTCACCGGTCCTTCACCTCCATGATACTCTTGTGGCGGACCCGTTGCAGGTCGCTTCCGAACTGGGTTCCCACTTTTCTTCTGTTAGCTCTGGTCTTCATCTTCCCCAATCTTTCCTTCTTCGTAAACCTGTCCTTGAGTCTCGTCCTTTAGATTTCTGCACTCATCTTCAGCTTCCCTATAATGATCCCTTCTCTCTCTCTGAACTTCGTTCTGCCCTGGCCCTCTGCGGTTCTACGGCGGCGGGCTCCGATGGTATTCATTATGAGATGCTTCGCCATCTCCCTCCGAGCACGTCTCAGTATTTACTGAGTCTGTATAATCGGATCTGGGAGTCGTCGTCAGTCCCTGAGGACTGGCTCGATGCTGTTGTCCTCCCTGTTCGCAAACCGGGGTCTTTGGGTACTTCCCCTAAGGACTTTCGCCCTATTGCTCTCACAAGTTGTGTCTGCAAACTCTTTGAACGTATGGTTAACGTTCGTCTGATGTGGTTCCTGGAACACCATCACCTCCTCTCCCCTTCTCAATTTGGTTTCCGCAAGTGCCGCAGCACGACAGATGTCCTCGTGAACTTGGAGGTCTATATTCGTACTGCTTTTGCTGCAAAGACCTCCGTTGTTGCCGTCCTTTTTGACCTAGAAAAGGCTTACGATACCACTTGGCGTTATCATATCCTATCTCAACTTCATTCTTTTGGCCTTCGTGGTCTTCTCCCTCTTTTTCTCCGCAGCTTCCTCTCTCGTCGTTCCTTTCGGGTGCGCCTTGGTATCGCTCTCTCCCCCTCTTTTCGGCAATACGAAGGTGTGCCCCAGGGTAGTGTTCTGAGCACTACTCTTTTTCTGGTTGCCCTCAATGGTCTTCTTTCCTCTCTTCCTTCTGGTGTCTTCTCCGCTCTCTATGTCGATGATCTTACCCTTTGTTGTCAGGGTGATGATTCGCCTCTCCTTCAACGCCGGCTTCAACTTGCAATTGATGCCGTGTCGTCTTGGGCCACAGGTCATGGCTTCAAGTTCTCTACTTCTAAGACTTGTGCCATGACTTTTACGCGGAAACGGGTTGTTCTTCGTTCCTCTTTGTCACTTTATGGTCATCCCCTTGAATACAAAGATTCCGCGAAGCTTTTGGGGTTATTCCTTGACACTCGTTTGTCTTGGTCTCCCCATATCTCTT